GAAACTAAAGCTATATACTCCTCATATCATCACAGTTTGCGAAGCTTTATTAAAGCTAATATTCAGTATTATTTACGAGCTTACATTGTTTGCCATTTGTGTCGCACTTCTAGTGATCGTGACACACTTTGTTTAATATTAATTTTTTTAAATATTTCTCCTTTCGATAAATTGCAAGTTAATATTGCTTTTAGATCATTACAAAGTATACACCTGGAAAAAAGTTAAGCACCCCCAAATATTTTTCAGGATTGCTTATTGAAAATAAGGTTTAATTTTCATGATGTTGAGCAATGTTCATAATTTCAAACATAATTAAAAGGATGTGAGCGTTCAGGTGTGACATTTAAATCAGGCGCGTTTTTTTCCCACGTGCAACTTGCTCCCTTCTTCACGTCCAATATGCACTATTTTCTCGTGCATCAAATCCGTATTTAAGTCCCGAATTTCTGAATGCAAAATCATTTTAAGTAAGAATGGCAAGAAGACGGATATCAGAGGCGCAGGATCGTCTGACCAGTGTATTCGTCGCCAGGTTTGAAGGTTCCAGTTCTGCCTTGCTCTGCACCAGGCGATCGTCAAGTGTCGGGCGTTTTATGACTCTCCTTGACTTCAGTCCCGCAGATTTTAAACGATTTCTTACTGTTCTGGTTGACAGATTACGACCAGGTAACCACTGCCTTTTAAGAAGGTTGCTTGTTGCAAACGGATTTCGTCTGACCAATCTACCAAGGCTCCTATCTTCACGTTGGGTTGTTACAGATGGTCGACCAGATCGAGGACGGTCCTTAACATTCTGGGTGGCAACATGTTTTCTGACCAAACGGCTGATCATTGTGTAATGATAGCCAGGCTGTCTACCTATCGCCTTGTAGGACATACCAGCGGAATTCATGCCAATAATTTGCCATCTCCCCATACCATAACTGAGCCCCCACCAAAAGGCACTGTTGGAACAATGTTTTTTGGAGTGTAAGCTGCGTTACGATGCCTCCAAACACGGGTTCGACCATCAGTTACGTGGAGTAAAAATCTACTCTCGTCTGACCAGTGTATTCGTCGCCAGGTTTGAAGGTTCCGGTTCTGCCTTGCTCTGCACCAGGCCAACCTCTCCCTGCGATGGCGATCTTAAGAAACATTGTTCCAACAGTGCCTTTTGGTGGGGGCTCAGTTATGGTATGGGGCTGTGTCTCGCATGATTTGGTAACAATCAATGGCAACCTTACTGGCGAAAAGTACACCAGGGACGTGCTTACAAAATGAGGCACAACTACAGGGCTAACGTGTGGTTGTACCATGAATAAAGGTCTTGACGGTCTAGCGTTGTCATTCATCACTCTAGGGCAGTAAAGTGTCCGAGAAACTCCAACAGTTTCTTTCTGGTGTTAGTCAGCAACTTCGTCCTGTAACCTGCTCTCGGCAAAATATCTTCATTTGAGGTGTGACTTGGCCAACTTACTTTCAAGATGCACTTGAAATTGGCGATATCGTCCAACATTCTGATGCATACGTGAGAATTGATATAACATAGCAATCCAAGACTCTTAACTTCGTCTCCATAGAAATTTTACTCTATGTCAAATGCGTCTTTTGCCACCCCTGTTCTCCATTTTATTTCATGATCACACTTACCATCTCTGGTGTTATCCAGCTTCCCAGGTTGCTGAATTTATTTATGAGCCTTATCTGTTCCTTATCTACTTTGACAATTCATACATGAATGATTTTCTTTGTAATTACTACACATTCTGTAATTACCCTTACTTTTACTAACGACCAATAACTAATTACCCAATAACTGTTTACACCGGTAATACATTATGTTTGGCATTCTATGAATGCGCATACATATAAAATATTAGTATAGACGAACTGTCATATTGTTTTATTTGTTTATTTATGTAAATTATTTACAGTGAGAAGAGAGGACTTGATTTAGGCCTGTCTCGCGGTTTTTCCGGTAGTCAAGCGGCTAAGCATCGCATGGGGCTTGCAGCAGCTAAATTTGCTGGTGGCCCCGGTAGACGGCGTCGTGATGTTGGCCAAAACCAATGAAGACCATCTAAAATATTGCTAAACTTAGTGTTTATTATGCAAAGACAAGGAAGCTAATAAACAAAAACCTCTTTCTATCTGTTGATCTAATTAATATACTTTGAAGAATATTGGAAATTCCTAAAAATAGAAATATTTCTTCTAGTAGTTCTGATATCAAGTCGTAAAGTTTGAAACAAAAAATAAAATCCTTCAATGTATTAAGTTAATAATAAAAATTAGTGTAATAATAAAACTTATGTTTGCATACGCAACATTGACAGAGTATTTATTTGTTTTGTTTTTTACTCTTAGTGGTGATATAGAAATAGGTGAAGTATTTTCATCTTGCCAGTCAAGAGAAACCCCACCCACCTACATTGGTTTCACCCATATATTTTTGTTCTTTAGTTTCTACTTTCAGATAGAGAAACGTCACCCCTCCTCGAAACGTCTTCTATATATTTAATTCATTTGAAAATACAATTTTTAAGACTTTCTGCATCGGACACTGATAAATTGTCTAAACTTATAAAAAAAAAAATGCTTCGTTTGCTAAAACAGGTAGATAAACAAAACTACACCAACACATGGAATTGTCAATTGTAAACTTGAGATTCTGGACTTGTTTCATTGCACGAATCCGAAAAATAAATCATGTACACAGGTTTTGAATTAAATATTTACTAATATCTTGTTATGCGCATAAATAGATATCATGTATTTTATTATTCATGCACTCACAAATAATTCATAACTTCTAATCGCAAGTGAGCTAAGTAGATGAGAATTATTTTTTTTTTATCAATTAATGAAACTTAATGTGTATAAAACGATTGAAATGAATTAAATCTCGCTCACTTTCTTATTATTTCTTTAAAATGTTCACAGTTTCATTACATTTATTTCTGGTTTTCTCTATGCACACGACTATATCGTGCGCACCAAATACACGGTTGAAGTCTCTGTAAGTAATAATGATAATTTTTCATTAGGTTATACCAGCAAAGCGCATTTACTTTTTTTTTCTCTTACAGCTAATAGCTTAAGCACAAGCCTCAAATCATTTGTTTTTATCACACACGATTGATTCACTTGTTCTTCAAAGCAAGCTACAATGAAATGTATTTACATATATTATGAACTTGTAATTTATAATTATTCTCTTATTATTATTCTCTTACAGCTAATAGCTTAAGCACAAGCCTCAAATCACTTGTTTTTATCATACACGATTGATTCACTTGTTCTTTAAAGCAAGCTACAATGAAATGTATTTACATTTATTATGAACTTGTAATTTATAATTATTATACCCTGATAGATTTTTATATATTAAAATGTTTTTGTTTTCGTTTGACGCGAAGGTATACAGTGAATAAAAAGAATAAAACAAAACTGTTTTCGCTTGAGCAGTGCATTACGTAATTCAACTAAAAAAAGCAGGGCCTATGTGATAAAACGAACATAGGAAACCTTCATGGCTTTGTTTTCGCTTGAGCAGTGCATTACGTAAGTCAACTAAAAAAAGCAGGGCCTATGTGATAAAACGAACATAGGAAACCTTCATGGCTTTGTTTTCGCTTGAGCAGTGCATTACGTAAGTCAACTAAAAAAAGCAGGGCCTATGTGATAAAACGAACATAGGAAACCTTCATGGCTTTAACCAAAACACTTGAATAGCCTTCTCAAGAGAAATCTCTGTATATTTTATCGAAAGCACTTCTTAGATTCTTCTACCTTAAAATGGTTATCTACCATATTTATGTCACTCGTTAAAAAATTACATCTAGTCCTGTGTTAATAAGTGCCGTCTTTTAACCCTCTTGCCACGGGCATCCTTTGCGGCGTATGTTATGAGGTTTTATTTAATTAAACAGGTTATTTGCAAAAGCAATTAAATCGATATATTCAATAAAGCAGCAGAATAACAGACAACTATAGTCTGAACAAAATAGTACATTAACGTTCTCAGGAAATTTCAGTGAATTCCCCCAAAGATCAAGTTTTTCTTCATTTGGGACATTTTGAACTGAAATATTAATCTATGTGTAAATGGAACAGAACAAACAACCACTTCACTATTGAAGAATCTATGAAGCTCTTCGGATAAGTACAGCAGACAAACTATCATTTCAATGTATTTATCCTAGTCTATGTAATACTGTTTCAATTATCAGAAGAAAGAGAACTGCTTAGAACGTACCTTAGAAACGACTTCAGAAATAAATTAATCAACCAGATAATATAAATGGATATTTCTTTATGATATGTATCATATCATCTTCATTGTTATAATATTTTCATAAATTGCTTCATCATATCCATCAATTCAAAAAAACATCTTTTCTTTCTGCCCTCTTCTGTTCTGATTATTGTTCAAATAAACTCTTTAAAAAATAATACACTCGAATTTAATAAGTTAGACCGGACATCTTTGCACGCTAGATATTTACCGAATAAACTTTAAATAATTTTACATTAAACACAAAGCTACAGAATGGGCTATCTACGCTTTCCTCAGTACGCGGAATCGAACCTCGGATCTTAATGTTGTAAGTACTAAAACTTTCTGCTGATGCACTATGGGACTGACTTTTGAGAATCACATATCTGATGACGTATAAAATGTAAAAAAACAAAAACAACTATTCTTATTCTACCCATTTTGAATTGATTTTTATTTTTTTTGTTTCCTACACTTTTCAAGGTTCGGCGGATTCAAATGATCACACAAAACTCCATGATGTTTCTATGTTAGTACATCGGTAAACAATATTAATTGTGATTCGGAGTGCTCAGTTTTAATGATATTTTAAGATCATAAGATACTTTCTAAAAATATATTTCAAGACAAGACACTCATCCAAATAATTCTTGTTTCCATATGGCCCAATTGTAACATTCGATATAATAAGTAATAGTTTGGTTTTTGAAACATATGTTCAACCAAATGTTCAAAATTGCGTGTCTTGAAACCCACTCTATCATCTTCCATCATTTATCTTAACAGATAACAAAAGAAGTTCACCAGGGAATGTAACAACTCAGAAAGAGTATGAAGAAATTATATGACAGGAGTATAAATGTGAATTTGTAGACGTCAAAAATGTTTTTTTTTTTAATTTCGCGTAATATAACTCGAGGGATATCTGCGCTAGCCATCCCTACTTTAAAAAGAAATGATAGGCTAGAGAGGGAAGGCAGCTAGTCAACACCACCCACCGCCAACTCTTGGACTATCCTCTTATCAATGAAAAGTTGGAGATGTCGTCACATATAATTTAGGGATTTTATTCCCCATGCAAAGTCGAGTAGACTTAGTCTGCTATGTGATCATTAGCTGACCAAATGACATGTCTGCTTCCTATCTTGTTTGGTTAATTTTTTCAAGTTCAGTAGTCAGCCCTACATAGCTTTTTCATTTAGCAATATTTTTTTCTTTATACTTGTTTGTTTACTTTTTTATAAGATGGTGTACTTGGGTTACTAGGTTATCGAGTGTGTTCTAAAGCTTTATAAATTTTGCATAGAATAATAATAAAATAGGTACTCAAATATCGTGTTTTGCTCTATCAAATGATGATATAATTATAGATCTGGCTCGAACTAGTTAGGCCCTAGGCCTGTTGAAGAAAGATGATGATGAACGAAAATAAAAAATCTCGGTTATGGCTATTCGGCGATTTTCGACTTTGGGACGCTCTGTATAACTGAAAAACGACATATACACCGAAGATAGAGCGATTATGCCAGGTAGCTCTTCATATCTAGTTTCTGATAACCTGTAGAGAAGAAAATCCAGATGTCTTTTGTATTGTTTTAATACGGACGTCCGTGCCATCCTTACATAGAGTGTGCTAGTATATTCTCCGATTCAATTTTCCGTGATATAAAAATGCAATTGAAGTTCAAAAGAGGTCATTCCTCCTTAAAAGCCCCCTCACCTGGCGACGCCTAAGCTTTAGGTACACAGGATTAATAAAAACAATTTACCATTCAGTGAGTTTTAGGAAATGTTTTTCCGTTCTATCATAGGAAACAGTGATTTTTGAACTGAAGCACCTACGATGATTTAGATACTTATGAATCTAACTTATATTTAGTTTGAAGAAAATTAAGCTTCAAAACTTGAGTTTCAAGTGTGAGAAAGCTTACTTGTGAACTAAGATATTATATCAAAACTCGGACATCAGTGCAATCAATTGGATTCAGAGGAAAAGCAGGCTTCATTTAACGGGTAGGCCTATATAGCAAACTAAGGGATAAGGAACTCAATCGATACTGTTTGAGGTAGAAAAACGTTAGGTAATAATCTTTTATCAAAGATATTATAAAGTATTACTTAAACTATTATAAATGTAGTTTGAGGCTTGTAGGGTCATCAAGGGTTATACCGTCTTTGCTTGATGGAGGTCAAGTTACTGTGGCAGTTTATATGGCTAAGTCCATATAGAGCGCTGCCACCTTGGTATTCAAGTTTAGCTATTCAGATATTACACCACTTGCAAGAAGATTTATTACTATGGTGCTTGTATGTATCTATAGAAAAAAAAACAGTATGTCAGTTAACGAATTAAAATTTGAAAAATCCCAGTTATAATTTGACAAATCCCAGTTATAAGCTCCAATATTTGTAATTTTGTTATTTTGGAATGCAAGAAGTAAATAAAAAAGCGGGCAATCAGTTGCTTTTTCAAGTATATTTATTTGAATTTCAGATAATAATTACAGGATCTAGGACTTATCAGGAAAGATGAATTGAAAAAATCAGAAGAGATGTGTTTTAACAAATAAAGTGTTTCTTTATTATTTATTATCTTTGAAGATTCCCTGGAGGGTCAAACCTGTAACAGAGAAGAAAAACTATAAGTTGATAGAAGTATTACTGGATTGGCTACAGATTAAATTGTCTTGTTTAACATGAAACCCGCAATAGAGACAAAAACTATCATAAGTTGATAAAAATATTGTTGGCTTTGCTTTAATTTGTTTAATATAATTTTGTTTGCTATAAAATATAGATTTCTGAGAGTATCAATGTAAAAATAAATTCAACGATATTGTAATAATAATAATATTTATGATACACGTATGATATACTTTTATAACGTTATTTGATCGGAACGAAAACAATTTCAGTATATATCCATCTACCTCTTGTTAAACTGGGTATATTTTTAATAATCAGAATTTCCATCTTTATATTACCTTTGTACGTTTAGGGAAACTATAACCAGAAATAAGCAAAATAGAAAGGATGTGTAATTTTTGTAACTATTTCAGCACAACTTAAAGAACCAGCCATCTTCAGTTGATTATATCACCACCATCACAAGAAGGCATTAATGTAAATTATGGGTTGAAAACTTGATAGTTAAGTTTTTGATAGTCAGAAAAGTTGGAAAGTTTTTGAATTTCTCTTTTTCCCAAGTCCATCTCCTATATATATTGTTTCGCATCCAATCAAGACACTTGCTCCATCTATCAGCCAGAACCAGACATATAGATCACACTGCAGACTCTTTGATTTTAAAAAAATAATAGTTGTTGTACCTCTTACCTTCTAATAATAGTTGTTGTACCTCTTACCTTCTAATAATAGTTGTTGTACCTCTTACCTTCTAATAATAGTTGTTGTACCTCTTACCTTCTAATTACACAACAATCTGTTCATTTCTTTTAATGGTGTTTGGGAAGAAATGAGCGTAGAAATATCATAAGTCTAGAAGAAGATCCAGGTTTGGGAACGTCAGATGAGAATGGAGAGATTGATCTTCGCCTCCTTCCTGGTGAGTGTTCGGAAGCCCAGAATTTTTGCTCATCTACAGCACTGACTAGGTCCTTATAGTCACAGCTATGTGACATGCCTGCGTTGAGAAAGCAGGTTCTTTTCCTAACATAAGTTTGACATTTAATTCTCTCGTTAACTCAGCTCTTTGTTATAGATTAGAATTAACGTTAGCAATTTATAACACCTTCAATCATGTCTATTAATAAACAGATATTCACATCCGTACTTTAAAATCAGACAGATTAGAGTTAGCACCATCTGATATCAGAATATTTATTCACAGTATTTTATGTGTAATTATTTACAGATTTTAATGCTTAGTGAGCAATTTTAAACTGTTGTTGTTTTTTCAAATTATTGTACTTACAAGGTCTGCACATTTTTCTCCTTAGTACATTTCTTACAACTCTATACTATTAAATCAACTTCTCAAGTGTGGATGTAACTACAAAAACGTTAATAACAAGACTGAATAAGCTTCATGAACGTATAACTCTATAATATGTAATTAGCTTCATGAACGTATAACTCCATAATAAGTAATCAGCTTCATGAACGTATAACTCCATAATATGTAATCAGCTTTATGAACGTATAACGTAATTCCATAATATAGAACCTGTTTCACAAATATTGAAGTGAATCTATAGCGTCCAATTACGTTTATCAATAAATGTGTTTTTATAATAAAAAATCAACTTTGCGAACATCGATGTGATTGTATAGTGTGGAGGCATCTTCATGAAACTGAAGTTCGTTCTATAATGTACAATCAGCTTTATCAACGTGTGATTCCATGATGTGGGGTTGACTTCACGAAAGTGCAGATGATTCTGCAATGTAGTTGTGACTTGAAGAACAAGTTTAACAAACGTGACTCTATAATATGGAATTAGTCTCGCGAAATTGATTGTGACTTTGTATTGTAGAATCAGCTTCCCGAATAGATGTGACAATAATATGTAATCAGCTTCACGAATGTAGATGTGATAATAATGTGTAATCAGCTTCCCATGTGACAATAATGTGTAATCAGGTTCACGAATGTGGATGTGACAATACTGTGTAATCAGCTTCCCGGATAGATGTGACAATAATGTGTAATCAGCTACCCATGTGACAATAATGGGAAGCTGGTTCACGAATGTGGATGTGACAATATTGTGTAATCAGCTTCCCGGATAGATGTGACAATAATGTGTAGTCAGCTTCCTGATTAGATGTGACAATAATGTGTAGTCAGCTTTACGAAACTGGAAGTGACAATAATGTGTAATAAGCTTCACGAATGTGGATGTTACAATAATGTGTAATCAGCTTTAAGAATGTGGATGTGACAATAATGTTTAATCAGCTTCCTAGATAGATGTGACAATAATATCACGATTATTTACGAATAGATGTGACTCTATTATATAAAACCAGCTTTACAAACAAAGGTGGTTCGATAATGTATAACGCATGCTGAAGTCAAATACACTAATGACCATTCAAAATAAATAAAAGGCAGTTTTATAATATAAAATCAAATTCACCGACGTTGATTCTCTATTTCGAAGTGGTTTTGATTTATTTTTAAATAATTAACTAAATTATTACGGCGTTTACAATTTAACTGGAACTTAATGGGATTTAATATCAAATATGCACGAAAATTGTTGGAGGGTAATATGTATTTTATACACTGCTCTAAACAATTAAAAAATAATCAGTTTTCATTGTCCAAACTTTGATAAGTACGAACTATCTTTATCAAATAAGATCAATGAGTTCATTCAAGTGAAAAACACGTGTCTACTAAACTTTATGGAAACACAGTGTGTTCTAAATTAACAATTTAATAAGTGAAGAGAATGTAAAGAAATCTGAACTGATAGTTAACATGCCAGGACCTCATCGAATTCATCTGGACACATTCATGATGCGAAAAGCAACAGGTCAGCTAGAAGCTCGTCGAACATAACAAGACGTTTCAGAGTGACAGTTGTGTCGGATTTATTATTATATAGTTATTTTAATATTAACGTTTGTTTAGATTAAATTTATACTTAGAAACATACATAGCTTATAATGTTAAATATGTATTGCGAAACTCCCGCCTATTCTACAAAGTTGTAGAAGATTTTCGAGAGTAAGAATCAACAATATATGTATGTACGTAAACGCTGAAATGTAACTTTTTATTGTTACATAATCTGAATTTTCTAGAAAGCCTCCACACACCTATAAATATAATCAACGCGCTGCGCCAAAAGAGAATATTTATTATTAGTTTGCTATAGTCAGTGTGCTATAAACTTTGAAAGCTATAACTGTGAATGTTATAACGCTTATCAATCGGAAAACTTCAGATATTTGACCAGGAGCCTTTACAAAGTTCGAACATTACAAATCATTTAACTTCAGTGGATTGTCATCGAACATTAGTATTTTGACGAAAACATTATATAAATTCACCGTGGAAAACTCGGCGTATGTGGCTGATAAATAACAAAGGACAAAGCTAGCTAGCTCCCTGTTAAGTGAATTATACCTACGTCAACTCGTAATCAACTCGCTCATCGTGAACCCTCAATAAGATATCAAAGAAGTTCCAGACTTGAAAGAAGACTTTATATTGCTTGTAAGTTTGTGAAACGTTTGTTTACAAATCAATGTGTGTAATAACTATTTATAATAACTGTTATTGTAAATTGTATTGTTGTGTGTATATTAAAACGTATTTGTGTTAAAAAGAAAACTGTGTTTATCAATCTTGTTGACAAATATCATAAACTGACTATATATCGGCTTTTACTTAACTGCTAAATCCAAACTACAATTTAACTACTAAATTTAAAGTATCATTTAGCTCGGTTTCAGACCATTTGATATTCTAATACGTAACACAGTATATTTCCCAACGTGTGGTAAGGAGGATGTGGAGTCATTTTGAGATCACCGGAGATAGGAATAGGTTATACTACTGTCGACAATCCCACAAGATTATTGTATGGAATCGACGAAAACTATACAGGTTCAGTTTCCCAACTGAATAACAATTCAGAACAGAAACCAAGCGACAAGTCAACACGAGCACGTAAACGATCAGAAAGGAGCTTCATAAAGTTGGCTGTTATGTCAAGCAATCAATGATGCGCAAATCCTTTTACCCACAATACAGTAGTTGTCAAGTGGTCAAATCACGCGTCCCACTGTAGCCATATATGGGATGTGTATGCATTTGGAGCGTGGTCGGGACGAGATCCGACCTCCAGTTTCATGGAAGAAGTACACACATTTGTGGTAATATAATGGTCTGAGCAAGGATCATAACTGACGCTCACATTGACTTTGTGTGCTACGACATAGCACTATGGATATCATACGACATGGGAATGCAGTCTTAAAACCATTAGTGTTGTCATATGCAGGTGCAGTTTGTCAGAATCTTTTTCTAATGGGTGATAACCATGATTAGTACCTTCCTGAAAGAAGAGGATATAGACTGGTCAACAAGCTTACTAAATTGAAGCTCAAATTTATTATGTTTGGGATTCTATGGGAAAACGCTTTGAAGTTCGTGATTCAGATTCAAGCACTGTTGATGAACTGGAAAAAGCAACACTGATGGAGAAGTGGGTCACATTACCAAAACACTTGATTGAATCACTCATTTTAAGCTTGTCACATCAATACATGGCTTTCAATAGTGTCCGAAATGATCATTCGCCCTATTAACTGATCGTTTATTGGGCCACAAAGGCTCTAATGCCAAATTATCATTTTTGGACATGCACTTAATCTACATATCAGATCACATGACAATTCAGTTGACACTTGTTGTTCATAAAGATAAACTCGAGGAGTCATTGACATTTGTTAGCAAGTATAGTTACGCTTTGTCAAAGTTAGAAAATTCTTGAAATATTTTGAGCTGTGCATTTCATTTATTTGAAGATAGCTTTTATATGCGGAAACATCTGTTAGCTGAGTTCTTGCACAGATCTTAAGATACAACGTTGATAAACGGAAACATCGGCACATGTAGATATGTAGATCTTGAAAGTCGAGTTGTTTCATATCTATATTTTGGAAGCCACCTTTACTAAAACACATTAACCTGTACTTCGCCACCAAAACGAATTCCTATACAATCTACACATTCTTCAGTAGGTTTCTGACATTTCCTGATTGGCTTAAGGACATGCCAATCAGTGATTGCCTTACCGGCCTACGTTGATTTGACTCATTTTATAAGCTGTACTATTTCCTATAGATCATTTTCCAGACGGTTCTGCTATGATTAATGTCTGGTGAAAAGCTTCAGCAGATATTTCCTTTGCAACATCTCAACCAACAATTGGTCCAGTTATCAACGCTATTTTCAAGTTTTGAACAACTCGACTTTCAAGATCTACATGTGCCGATGTTTCCGTTTATCAACGTTATATTTTAAGATCTGTGAAAAAACTCAACTAACAGATGTTTCCGCATATAAAAGCTATCTTCAAGTTTTGTACAACGAAAAAAACTTTTCAAGTATTTCATTTATAGTATTTTTAATTTGTAATATGTTTATTACTTTTGTTGGAAAGACTTTGTTGCAATGTGAAGCTGGGAGATATTTTTGGTAATAAACAGCAGATTTTAACACAGACCAATCAACCTCTCACACTACTTATTTAGCTTGCATTACCTCCATAACGGTTTATCTGTATTCAGTCGGTTTATTTATTAATCTCTTCGTGTGTCTATTCCTTTTGATAACCAATAATGTGGCTTAAAACTGCGATAAAACAAATAGTTTACATATCTGTGTTTTATGATCATTGCTTCTGCCTTATTTATCTTTGAAAGCAATTTCCAGATTAAAAATGTGCTGTACATGTTTATTAATTATTCGCCCTGTGGTAGAGCTCTGAGAGCCGGTTTCGAATCTGTGCGTGCCACAAAATACCCCCCGCACTTTAAACTGTAGAAACGTTACGAGTGTGGCAGTCAATCCCTTAACGTGGATGGTGGGTGGTTGGGTGCTGCTTGTTGGCTGTCTTCTCTCTCCGATCAGTGTTCAAAATTATGGACGGCGGCAGATAGCCTTAGTAACTTAGGACATAATTACAAAATTCAAATAAAAAATGAATTATTCTACAGTGTAATAATGATAAATGCGAAACAAAAACTCTCGTGCAATTTGTCATTCAATTTTTTTACACCCATTATATCACTCACTATTTATAAAGCCAACTTTCAAAAGCAGGCGATAATTTTTGCGTACACTCTATGAACTGATGTGTCTTAAAACACTTTAAACAACGTTGCTTAAACTAGTGAATGAAGTTTTTGATTTCATAACACTGAATTTCAAGCTAAGCTGGCAACTAATGAACACCACCAAGTGTATTTTTATCAACGAGATTCTCGTTGATCGAGCAATGGAATATTGAGCTGATTTATAAACCGTCTCGCCCCCTCACGGTGTTTATAGCAATTGACTAATAACCGTTGCAGATCAAGCGTGAATTCTAGATCGGTTTGGCTTGTACCAAATAATTGGTTTACAGATAAGCAATCATGTAAAGTCAAAATAAAAATAAAAATCAATACCTTTCTGTTTTTAAAATTATCAAAGTACGGAAATATCTAGAAAAAAAAAAGAGAAAGAAAACTTCTATTTGGAACTCATTTGGTATTGAAAGATCTTAGAAGGACATCATGACGCTCTCAATTTTTCAAATACTCATATAGTTAAATTACAATTTACACGTACCACCTCAAATATTTTCAAATTAAAAAAATATATTTAATAAGTAATAAAACAACGAATGAAACTCGTAAAAAACTCCAGAAAGAAATTCATCGATTATTCAGCCGAACCAGGTGTGAAATTCTGTCTGAACTCCCCGGTACTAGATACCGGGACTTATTTTTTAAGGCGGTACTAATACTGGGACTTATCTGAGCTGCTTTGTCGTTTTTTTATGTTTACATGTACATTTTTTTTTCAAAAACAGGTCCACTTCACCCAGCTGAGTACCTCTATTTTTTTTGAGAATTTCATTCTTGAGCCGAACAAAGATTTAAATCCGTCGTCAAAATATTGCGTGTCACTTTGCATTTAACTTTGTGACAATTGAAGACAGAAAAAGAAAACAAAAAACTGTTGTATCAGCATGAATACAAATTTACTCATAAAAAAGCAAATAAACTGATTTTATTTCATACACAACTTTTTGCTTACTCACACAATTATTGGCAAAGATACTAATAATATATTGGTCAATTAATGAAAGTAATGTGTTTTGTGACATAATTTACAACCCCAAAAAAGTCACGGTTAGATCGTCTTTTTCAGTCGCTCGCATGTTCAGCTTAAACAGATCACTATTATTTTAGTTATCTTAGTCCTGCTTAGAAGGGTCTACATATTCTACCTTTAAATCTCTGTCATAACGGCTGATTTTTACTAGGAGCAACTGAATCATAATTTAACTATGGTAGTAAAAAGTGTGGCTAAATGCAAAGAAATTTGGGTAGCTAAGATACACATGATGCTAAAGAACTAATGCTAAAATGTGTCGATACATAACGCATCTGTTTGTGACAAATTAACCATCATAATCATTTTCCATTGAAGAAGAAATTTGGTAGATTTCAATATGTATAGAAACTTTTTATAATGCTCTACATCTTTTATGGCTTGTTGGATGGTTTTAACAGAGTTTATACGTATACACAAATATATAACTTCTGAGTAGGGAGGTGAAACATCAAGTAAACCGGATGTCACCATCATCGTATTCTGTCGTTTCCTCGTTTTGAACATAAGAAAGGAAAACAATTGTACGTAGTTTTGAATATTGACTCGTTCATGTTGCTTGCGTTTGTTTACCTAATAGGGCAAGGAACGAAAAATTTACTCGTTCATGTTGCTTGCGTTTGTTTACCTAATAGGGCAAGGAACGAAAAATTTAGCGAGCGAGATTAGGGCAAGTTTTCTCTCTCCTAACAATTGTAATCCTGAGCTATAGTCATGAAAAGTTCATGAACACAGGTGTTAAGAGGGGTGGGGGAATAAAAAAAATGTTATTTAAGTGACAAACGAATACTTTAGAGTGACAGAGGGTTTAATGGAGAAGAAAAAATCATCCTTGCATCCGTGTATATGGAACGTAGAGTAGATTAAGCAAAGGAAGCAATGTACGTATAACAGATACAGTCAAATTCGTGTATTTGTTGTTGAAAATATTTATATGTTAACCATTTTAATGGAGTTACTTGTTATTCTTCGTCTGACGTGTTAGACTTGTTATTAGATTACTGAGCTTAAATATTTGCATATTCAATCTCGGTGGAAAAAATCCAAAGCTTATTTCGAACGTATTTGAGGCAAAATGCTCTTTGAGATAGTTTATATGATAGTTTTCACTATAAAGTAAATATGTAATACAGAAAACAGCATTTGTTATAGAGTAATTTACTCTTCAACTGGTAGCTTTTTCTAATGTTTTGTTTGAAACTGATCTATAAATATGCGAGACATGAAACAATATTGAGTAAAAAAAGGTTTCTAAATAAAAAATATAGTGTTAATATAAACAATGATTTATCAGATAAGTTAAAAATCAGACTCCTATAAAGACAAAGAACAATTAGCTTGACATATCTGGAACTGAATGCAAAACAAGAGGGTATGGCACTGAATTAAAGGATATGAAAACGTACAGAAAATTCGACATAGATAAATATAAAATAAAAATGATATTAACAAATCACGCATAATGAGGATGGGTAGGTAAAGATATTTAAGCAACATAGATGTGTGAGGTATTGTCGGTCATTGTGAGTATTGTAACAGTATTAACTAGAATTTATAGAACGTCTAGATAATTAACTGGAACATTTTATCTTAGAAGTCTTTTAAGAGATAAGAAGAATATTTTCAGCATGTTTTAAAAAAAGACTGAAAATCAAGACTTACTGAAGTTTCTCTAATCGAGCGTCAAGATCATGTAGCATGTCTTTGATATATGACAGGCTTTTTCTCCGAGCAATGATGCCCTTCAGACTCCTGAAATACACAAATGGTTAGTTTTGTGTGAAAATACACAGTTACATAACGAAATAAACTAACTTTAGTATAGTCTCACTGTGTTTACCTTCCCGATAAAACATCCCGCACACTCTTCACATGAAGACACCATTAAATTTGTTCAGCTTTAATAAATATATTCTGAAATTTTTGGTTTTCTGATTTTAATGGCTAGTAGTATCATGGCAGGAGCTAAGGAGGGTGAAAATTATAAATAACATAAACTATTAAGCTTTATAACTGTGATTAATAACGTTAACGTTTGACCGTGCAGTTACTCTTGTAAGGCCTAGAAAAATTTTGCTTTGATAAGATCGACGTTTTATGAAAGTAAACTATTTTAATTTATAAAACAAAATTCTGAAAATTAAATTTGCACAAATGAGATAGTAGTGTATTATGTCAAACACACCAACAAAATACGACGGACGGGAAGTTATATTCTAACAACTCACTTTTCGAATTCATAATCAGTTGTTTCGAATGCCATTGTGGCTACAATCAGTCCGAGGCATAACAACATCTTCACACCGGCTATCATCGTGTCCCCTAATATGTATATATGGATATATATATATCATATACTAAACATTTGACTTGAAAGTTGGGGTAAAACGCATTTGTAAAACTGACACTAATTGTGGAACAATTTATATTAACAACATAGAAAAACGTTAAGATCTAAAAAAAACAGTTATTTATTATACCAAACATATTAAAAAACACAAAACAAATTGAATTCAATGTATTTTAACATTCGCTTTTTCAGTAAGAATATAAACATAAATAATGTTACGAGAGCGGAAGTCACGTGACGCTAGTAACACGTCATGAACTTCTAGAATGATCCTGTCCCTTCCTGAATGCTCGAGCGTTTACTAGATTTCGTATTCTTTTACATATAAGACGGTCAAGACGTGACGGCAACAATGTGTAATTGACAGTTGAGTCGAGCACGTGAGACGTTCGTTGTGAATCATATCGTTTGTTATAGCGCGATTGTGGAAATTAAGTGTATTGCAAAGTTGTATTCAGAAAGAATAAACCAGTTTTATTTAAGAAAGGACTTGTATCGCTAAAGTTTCTTCGGAAATAATTTTCACGGAAAATTAACTAACGACCAGAGACGTAACAGTAACTAGGTTAACTTAGCCACACAAAAATGTTAATTTTTAAACTTCAGTAGATTTGATCATAGTAATTAACCACTTTGACCATCCCATGCGAGTTACATAATCAAAGTATATCCAATTGAAGATTTTGTTGTAAATTATACGTTTACTGGATTATATTTGGAATTTTTATAATTAATTCAAAAACGTTTTGAGAATCAAAATTTTACGGTTTTGTTGAAAATTTAAAAACAGTTCTGATATTACCAACGTACATCAATTTTATAATTTCACTCACCAATTTCATTTTCTGCTGGCATTAAAAAGTTTCAAAGAAACAGCAAATTGGTTTACTCCCCAAAAAAAAAAAAAAAAA